TTAAAGGTCTTTTCTAACCTAAACGATTCCATGAGAAGAGAACTGTTTTCCTCATGAAGTGAGAGCTTAGGAAGTTATGTCATATTTCCCAGACTCCTCCTGCTGCTCTCTGAGGGCGTAGCCTTTCTTAACCCTGCCTTCATGATGCTTGGCTGTATCAAAAGACTTAACTTCAGTTCAGTCCCTCTGATTCATTTCCTTCCAAATTATATTGTTATAGTCTCTAGTAAACAAACAAGCTCTGTAAAGCATTATTTTTGTTTTAGAAAAAAAACAAATGAAGAAATGGATCTTAGAAAAAACTAAGCCAATCCATATGCATGCCTCTTGTTCCCTGAGACTTACTGTTCCCTGGGTCTGGTGACTCTGTTGGCCTGTCTTCCTGACCAACTGCCTTTCCTGCTCTCCCATGAAAGACTTTTTATTTTTTAATTAGTGATTTTAATTTAAAGATGTTGGCTGCCAGAAACAGGATCTTCTTTTTTCCTGGAGATAGGATATATGATCCTCAAAGCTTGCAGTTTTGTCCCATTGTCTAATAATTGCCTTCAGAAGTGCCTTGGTTAGCAGTGACTTATTTAGGTCTATTGTGTTGATTCCTGGCTCGGTCTTTCCCACAGTTCTCTAAGCTATTGTGGTGCCGAGACAAATTCACATGACTGCTGTACAATAATTTTGCATTATGGCCAGATGATATGCAGTGTTTGTAAGACTGTTGAGTGTCAACATTTTATTTGTTGCCTAGCTATCTATACATCTATGCGAGGATTTGGAGTCTATAGGGTGCAAACGCTCTACGTATTACACAAGTGAGAACAGGGGGGGAAATAAAAAAAAAGGGAAGGGAATTCAAAAGTGGACTGAGAGCAGTGGTGAACTGGATAGGTAAACCGTGGTCATTGGCTGTACACAAACCAAGAATTGTAAGCAAAGACTTGTAAAGAAAGGATGAAATGTTAAAATTTAAGAATAATAAAAATGCTGGATAAGCCTTTCTTTGATGATCAGATATGTTCCACTTAAAGCTGAATTGAGGGGATTGCAATCTTCCATTGTTTTGGATTCACAGCGAAGAGCTATGTTGCTTTTATTACTGTCCTGGAAGGCAGATTTCAGATGTAGACAGAAATATTACGGGAAGTATGGAGGCTTTTCTTGCCAAAGCTAGGTTTCTCCTCAGGAACTGCCAGATTTATTGGATTTCATTTTGGTTTGTGAGTCTTTGTTTTAATGCGAGAGGAATAGAGTAAGCTTACAGAAGAGTGCCTTATCATTTTAAGGTATTATTTGTTCTACTTGGTGCAGTGGTAACTGCTTATTTAGCTTTTTGGAAGGTAGGACACTGGATTATTCCACAAGCCTGGCTGCTTATATACATTTTAGACAGAAATTAAGCATTTGTGGTTAGATTTGTTTTTCTTTGGTTTTTTACTTCTGTTTCAGTCGAGCTGCAGTGCACGAAAATGACATAAATGTTACATATGCATAATTTATCTTATGGGAATTCTTTTTTTTTTTAAGTACAGTTGCTACTGTAAATTAACTTTTAGAAACAATGAACTTAAGGGAAAACTGAGGAATGTGTCTCGTGCTTTATAATGGGACATTTGTGCTTGATTCTGTGCAGTTATAAATGACTCTACTGTTCAGCACTGTGTTTAAGAAAATGTAGCTCAGAGATTTGGTTGTTGAAAAGATGATTTATCGCAGGGCATAAAGATTTTAAAAACAATTCTTTCACTTATCCTTGGCCTTCAGGAGCAACAAACTTTTCCTTTTGGCTTCAGTTCTTTGATCAAGAATAGGTCTACTCATGCAAGTTTGTTGAAGCCTAAAAGCATGTATTTATTTCTGTCCAGAAAACATTGACATGACTTGATCTTTGAAAATATATATGCTATATAAATAAATACTGGGATAAATAAAAGTCTCCTGTCGGAGTAGGAGTGCTATACGTAATAATGCAGGGGACATTGCTGTTTGACTCAGGGTGCTTTGACATTGTGCAATGTTAAGAACTTGAATTGTCCTCCAGTCTGAGTTCTTGTCATGCCTATGTTCTAAGCTGGTGGCTGCCCATCTGAGCATGGCCCTGTGATCCTTTCTTGGAGAGTTCTCATTGTCAGAAAACTTAAGCTAAAGAAATTAAACCCAATCTATTCAAAAAGCTAGTTTAGGTCAAGCTGAAGAGAGTGTTTTAAACTTCTTTTGTAAATCAGATTTATTTCAGCTGATTAATATTCAGCTTAAGCTAGGATAAATGTGTTGGAATAGTGTAAATAAATCCGTTTCAAAGCATTGATTAAACTGTCCTATGCAAACAATTTTTGAGTGTCATTCTGTAATTTCTTCAGTTCTGGCCTCCATCTTTTACCATCTTCAGTTCTGGGAACTAAGATTAATCTCTTTCTCTGAACTGAAGAGAAGGAAGTATTTCCTATATTTAAAGTTATTTGGGTAATAAAAATTTAAATTTGGCAATTCAAACCCCAACGATAGATGCTCAATCCAGGTGCAGTTTTGTCTTGGAACCATTTCCCCTTGTACATTTTTCTTTCACTTTTTCAAATAAAGGAAGCGTTGAGACGAAACTGCTTTGGACTTCCATAGGTGTTTTCTCATTTGTGATCTTGCCTGGCACACTCGTCTACCCCCAGTGACTGATACCCATGCAATGAACAGGGTATTTTTTCTTAGAAGTCTATGATTAATTTAAATATATAAACAATCAGAGATGATTTAGCATTTAAATATTTTTTTACTGGTAGATTTGGTTGTCATATTTGTTTTTCTCTTTCTCCAGCTTTTGGAAATGCTAAAACTGTGAGGAATGACAACTCCTCTAGATTTGTAAGTATTTTCTTCAAGACTGAATTCAAATTCCTTTTAAGGGAGCCTGTTATGTTGTTGGCTGTTTCTGTTTTACCTTGTATCAGCCATCAAGGCATCTGTTACGAGGGCATGAATAATTTGGAGAGAGAACTTTTTTGTAGTTGGCTGAGGACCGTGATGTTTGGAGAAGGCAAACACCTTCAGTAGCAACCAATATTTCATTTTGTACATTTGAGCATGTTCTCCTTCCCCAATGTGTTAGTAGTGCATTATTAGCAGTCAACCCTGTTTTTAAAAGATGTTTCACATCTCCTTGTCAGAAATCTTGTTTTCTGATGTGGGCATAGAGTTCTATGGAGAATCAAAGTAGAAGTTAAAAAAAAAATTAGGATGTGACAGTCTGTGACCGGATGAAAACATAATTACAGCGCAGCTGGATTCTTTAATTTTCTGGCACTGGTGGCTTTAATGTCAGTGACCTTGTGCCTAGCAACTGGTCTGCTTAGCAAGTCGACCTTTCTGCATGATCTCATTTTCCATTTATATGTATACATTTTTTTGTTAAAATTTCTACTTCAGGTTCTTATTTTCTCTCTATAATGTTTCAACCTGTGTTTACAACTTTAGTTTTAATATAAACATTTGTAATGTTACTTTTTGCTTGATTGAATTCTGGGGTTTTTAGCATCAAACTGAATGTGAAATTATAGGCATTGACAATTGAAAAAAAAAAAAAAATTGAAACTAGAGTTGGGAGGTTCAGAAGTGTGAGTATTCATCATAGTTTCTCCTGCTAAAATCAGAAGACTGAATGCAACTTTGTAATTTGCTCACGGGTGTGCAGAAGAGTAATACAGAGTGAAATGTGTAAAGTAGACAACAGAAGACAAATTAGTACACTGGAAAAATGGTTCATTGCGAGTAAAAGCACATGGATAAAAGCCTGGGATATGGTGACACGGGAGAGTGGCTTTTTTTCCACATGGGAGACTTCTCTCCCTTTCCTTTTTGATTCCACACAGCTACGAATGCTCCTTCTGTGGCTGTCATTGCCCCTGCTTGTGAAAAGAGCAAAGGGTCTTCATCGCAGGCCCTGCAGGCTCCACAAATGTCCATGCAAGCAAGGTCAGGGCCAAAATTCGAGGCACTGTAGAAAATTTTTTTGGATAGAAAGGGTAGAAAAACTGCAGCTGTCAGAGATGACCTACTACAGAAAGGAGGAGACAGTGAAGAGGAGAAGAGGTGCCTTTTGCAAACAGAAGTCTTCTCAGGACAAAGTGCAACCAACAAGTATTTTGCCTTTCAAGTCCTTGCTTATAAACACAAAGCTAAAAATACTTTTGGAAACATCCAGCTGGCCCAGTCCTTGGGAAATTAAAATTTAATTATCTGATTTAATTCTTTATCTCAGAAATTTGAATCAGCTCAGAATTAGCTTCAAACAAGAAAGTACAAGTACTGTCCTGTCTAACCTGCCTCAGCTGCCAGCAAGGAGAAGAATAGAGTTTAAGTAGAGTCAAGCCAATCTTGACAAAATACCCAGTAAATTAGAAAATATCTTTGAGGAAGTCAATGTAAAGTGCTTGTCTTTTATGTTCTGTAATTAAAATCAAAAGAGAAAGAAAAAAAGAAAACTCTTCCTAAGAGCAGTGAATAAGGAAGTATAAACACCAGGCTTCTCTTTTCAATAGGTTGTTTTTGTCCTCTGTTAAGTAAGGGTGGTGAGATCATTTCTGTGCGTGGCTTGTGGAATTTGGTTGAATTACTACCAGCAGTTTTTATCTTTCTAAACTTCCTTGCCAATGTGAGCTGCACTGCTTTTGCCTTTTCTACACAGTACGGGTCTGTCCATTTTGACACTGTTAAATGTAGCTGTGACTACATTAAACACTTGTCATATAAATTCAAATGATGCAAAGACCAGAGTGATCTTCTGCAATGTGGAAAAGTCAAACAGAAGTCAAGGAAACACACTGCGCCAGTACAGCTAAAAATGAAATCACTTTTGTGGTGACAGTCTGTTAATTGTTGCCTCTGGCCTCCTGAGTTACGAGCAAAAAGTTCAGTGGGAAAAATCCATCACTTTTACAAGGCAGGCACATGCTTAGGGACAGACACCCCACGATTACTAACAGTAATCGTTGCCAGCCAGTCCTTCAAGCCAAACTGAGCGGCTATCCTTCAACTGCCTTGATTCACACTCCGAGAAGATTTTACACCGAGAAAATAAGTCTGCGTGGAAGATAATTTCTTCCTGCATTCTTCCCTTAATAAGCATGGTAATACCTACACGGCCACAAGTATTGTTTGGTGTTCTTGGCTTTCTGGTGAAAGGTTGTATAACGTGCTTTTTTTTCATATAACCGAGCAAATTACTGGGTTGCATTACAAACCTGATTAAAGCTATTCTCATGAAAATCCATGGCTGTGATAACGCAATTGTCTTAGAAGCTTTGAATAATTTTCTGTTTTTTAGAATTTGACAGAGTGCACAGGAGGTTGCCAGATTGCTCTTTTAGCCTGTGAAAATGAGCCAACTAACTTCTTAAAAAATGTCTTGAGCAGTTTTTCTTAAACAGAACTTACAGTCTTAAAATATGTTGCTTTCACAGGGAAAATACATGGATATTGAGTTTGATTTCAAGGGTGACCCACTTGGAGGAGTTATAAGCAACTGTGAGTATTAGTCTTGGTATCAGCATATTAACAGCTTAAAATGTTTTGTTCGGAAAGGAAGATGGTTAAATTATTGAAAAGATCAACTGCGTTTGTCCAATCAAATCTCTCTCCATTATGTGATAAATTCTGCTTTTTAATTTCATTGTTGTTTTGGTGCTGAATAGCGTACCTTAGAGTGAGAGAGAACAGACTTGAAGAAGTAAGCATGAATAATGAATGTACTGTGTTGTTTAAAAGGTACTGAGTAATGTGCGTGGGTTCATATATTGTTTCTGAAGCTGGTAGTAGGTGCATAAGGGTATCGAGGCTCTTTTTGTACTTGAATCATTGGGATCAGTTTTTTTACTTGATTTGATGGGTCATGTATTTATGGTAGATTATCTCTGAGATACACTGTTTTGTAGTTCGTAAGAGTGATACAAAGTATGCTGGAGAACACCATGAGGTAAGTTTATTTAGAATCAAAGCATTCTGTACTAATTTTAATACACCTCACAGTGTAGGAAAAGGCTTATCATGAGAGAGAATGAACAGCTGTTGAGTTTAGGGAGGGAAAGGTGGCCTTAGAGGTTGTTATTTGACGTGAGGATGCGGCTACGAAATCTATAGGAATTCAGAAACTTTAACCAGCTCTCTGTTGGGAAGAAAGAGGTGGGGAACTGAACGCCAGCCCAGGATGCTTTGACTTGCTTTCCTTTCGAGAGTTTAAATGCAGCTTTTAAAAGAAATTGTTCTTCTGTGCTATATAAAGCTATGTTTGTTTGTTTTTCTTATTTTTGAAAAGGGATGGAGAAGGGCAGTGAGTGACTATACTAGGTGTCACTGACCGAGCCTTGACCTCTCTTCCCACTCAGCCAAATTCATCGCTGTTTCTAAAGAATGGCTTTTGACTCCATTGGCATTTTACTGGTTGTGAAATAATGAGAATCATCCAAGGGGAACTGAACTCTCCATATATAATATAAACATTTTAAAACATTGTGAAGAATTTTACGCATAAATATAGGTTTTGGTTTTTTTCATAGGGCAAACATTTTTTCTGGACCAGGTCACCTTTTGGAACTGTGCCTGAAAGAGCATGATTTTTGTGACAGAGTACATCTTGAAACTCAAAGCAGTCACTGTTTAAGTGTTTACAGGTATCTATTAACTTTGACATTTGGCAGTCAATGAAATTAGAGGCCAAACATACTCAGTGTATTCATCAATAATTAAATGTGAACAAAAAGGTTCTAGCAGGCTGGCTGTGTTGTTTGTTTCTTTTTTATTTCACATTCAAAATAGATACATAAAAATGAACCCTGCTTTGTAGAGTGGACATTCAACAGTTTGTCTTTGAAAGTACTGTGCTGAGTCATCTAATGAAAATATTGTGTCATATCAAAAGGCGATCCAAATAGTTACTCTATAGTTTATCTGCCTTATAAATCTTTGCATGTTGCAATTATAACATTACATGTAATTATAATGATGTGATGACATATGTAATCAAGGACAGACATATTTTTAGATCTTCCTAAAAGGTGCCCATTTTAGGCATTCTCCCTGTCTTCTCACATTTAATAAATATCTAACAGCAAGAAGATGAATTTAAATTTAAAAATAAAGACCTTACGTGTAAGCCCTGTTGTGGAAAAGATGTTACTTGTTGAACTATGAAACACCCCATGCTTGACAGGGTATGTCACAGATAAATATTGAGTTCCTGTAGCTGTGTGTTAATATATCTCATCTTTGATTTAATGTTCGCAAAATTTGATAGTCCATCCACCTCTCTTTAAAAGAGAGTTCGAAGTCTGTACAGTTTTAAGCAAGTTTGTTGTCCTGCCTTAGATCTTTTCCACATGTCTGCAGCATGGCAGAACAGAAATGTTTCTGTTGTGAGGTATCACCATTCTGGAGGTATCGGGGGCTTAAATTCTTTTACACCACTTACAGTTTATTCTGGTTTTAGTCAAATTTAGGATTTGTCGTCTTAATTCATCAAGTAGGAAGTCAAGTAGTGCTGAAGTTTCCTATCCTTAAAAGGGAAAGTGTGATTAGTTTGTTCATAAATATTCTTTGCTTTCTGACCATCTGTTGGTTCAGTGTTAACATGATGTGACGATGATATCATAATATTTTGATTAAACTTTAATAGTTGTATCTGATAAGCTTGATTTCCAAACATCAATGAAGTTAGTGGGCTTTTTGGATCGCAGCCTATATCACGAAGCTGTATTTCATACTGTGAGTGGCTGGAAGCAGACACGGTGAACACCTAGTTTATTTTGGTGGCAAGAAAGATAATGAAGATAAGCTACTAATTTTATCAGACTGGTAAAGATAAGCAGAGACCCATTAGGCTAAAAGGTCTTGTTTGAAATGGTCTGGTCTGTCCTACTCTGAAATGCTGTGAAGCTCTCTGAAAGGCTAGTCCCGTGACCCTTCATGTAGCGGCTGATGCTGTTGTGACCTTCCCTTGGGCCATTCTCCTGGTGCCCTTCAATGAGCTTTTACTTCTTAACGACAGGGGTTCACCTACAGGTGAACCATTCACGGGATGGAGCTAGAGGGTAGAATTATCATGGCAATGCATACTGCATGTCTGTCCTGTCCAGTTTGCAGTGAATGGAAATGTCCATTGGTTTTAGCAGAAGCCGGTAGATCTGCAATGTTTAATGTGCCATAAATGGAAGGGTAAATCTTTTGAGTAAAATTAGAATGGGAATAATAAAATGGAAGGGATTGTAATGGAAGAGGTTTGTGACATCTGTTAAGTCAGAACTGGTATGTTGCCAAACTGAAGATAGGTTTATGTTTGATCAGCATAAAATACATATAGACTCATTACATGTACATTACATGGCTGCTCAGAACTTCTGAGTGCACTGATTTGTAAGGCATTTGACATATAGCTATATCATGGTGTACGGTCATAAAAAGAAATTGAGAGTGTAAAATTTGAGATGAACGTGATTTATGCAATCTCGAAGTATATTACTTCAGTCAGGAATTTTTTGCCCTTAGACAACAAAAGAAAAATGATTTCAGCGAGCATGTGTTGTACTTGTTTGATCCTATGTTAGCAGCAACTGAGGCATGGGGGTGAGGAGGAGGGTGAAGAAGGCTGAATAAGCTGAGGTATGTGGTAAGCCCAAGTCATTTGAATCCTCCCGTTTTGTTAGTTTCCTGTGAAGGTCCCAGCTTGTTTTCCTAGTGGGTGGGAGATGCTGGAATCTGTGTAAGGTGAGGTGCACAACCCTAGTGCTAGCTAACAGCCAGCCCATCCATTCATAGGCTGGCCCCATGTGTGTGGGGTTAGGAAGCCCAAATTACTCTTGTGAGCTCTCCTGAACACTAACCCTTGCTGTATTGTCACCTGTGACTGTAGATATCCCATCCCTGTTTTGTAACAAACACCAGTCCCTGCTTAAAGGTATGCTGCTGCTCTAAAATGCATTTACAAACAGGTAAATTGCATTTACATTTTCTCTCACTGAATTGAGTGTGAGGTGTGTCTGCTCTTTCTGTCCTCCCGTGGGATGTTTACAGTCGCCGCTGTTGCAGTAAACGCTCTTGTCAGCGCTTATGCGCTCAGAGGTTTTTTTCCAGAGCACTTGTGAAGAAGGGCAGTTGGAGTGTTGGGTAATTAACCTGCTTTCACCCGAGTGTAATACTGTGGAAATAAATTACAGAAACCATCAATACTATTCTTAGTTTTCCATTTATTATAACTACCATGTTAGCAGGGATGGGAGCAGGAGGAAGGAGAATAGTAGTTTCTTTTCCACCAGTAATTACAGAATAAAATATATTTTATGTAAAAATGGGCATGTTTGCTTCCAAAGTTATAGGTGCTAATTGCAATAGCTTGTACAGCTCTAAAATATGACTCTCTATCCACAGATGCTGTGTCTGTTTTGTACTCAGGGTGATGTTTGTGTGCACGCCTGGTTCGTTAGTTTTGTGACCGGTTTTGTGTACACTTAATTTTATGGTTGAAATAGTTTTGCATGGTACAGTCCAAAATGTTTCACACTTGCAGTTGTTTAGACCTTTTGAAAAGTAGGGATCTTGTGATATCTTTCCCAGAATACTTGTAAGTCGTAAATTTTCACATTTCATCTGGGATTTCCTGCTG